TCCACAAAGAGTGGCTTGCTTATGCTGAATCAATTCAGAAGTCAATTTACCAATCTAGTCTCAATAGCAACATGTTTAAAACTGGGAAGGGATTGAGTATGTAGCTCAGTAGTAGAGCATACTAAATGCACAAGACCCTTGTTTCAATCCCTGGCACTAAAAAATAAAGTGAGAACAAAAATACTTCGGGAGTGTTCCTGCTCACTTGAATGTCAATTTCAAACATTATTCTTATTAATGTAATCAAGCTTAAGTAGGTATAACCAATATAGCATGTATAGGAAAGGCCTGGCCAGTAAAAATTTTAAAAAATGAACAATTATCTTATTTATCTAAAGTACATTTGATGGCTTATTGAATTTGTGAGCAGCATAAAAACAATCATTCTGTCCAAGAATGGTGGCACACACCTGTAATCCCAGCATTCAGGACACTGAGGAGGAGAATTACAGTTTGACGCCAGCCTGGGCTACATAATGAGATCAAAGCCAGCCTGCACTATAAAACAACACCTTGTCTCAAAAAAAAAAAAAAAAAATCAAATCACTCTGGTAGGCATGGAAGTGTACACCTCTAATCCTAGCACTTGGAAGCCTGAAGCAGGAGGATTCCTATAAATTTGAGGCCAGCCTGGATTACATAGTGAGTTCAAGGACTTCAAGGTCAGCCAGATCTACAAAGCCAGATTCTGCCTCCAAAAAAAAAAAAAAAATCATTCCTTAGTTCCAAAATTTGGAACTGAAAACTTTCTACAAAACACATTTTGAAAGATACTTATTGACTCATAAATAACTGTAATAGTTCATAAGGTGCTATACAGTATTTCCAGAGGTAATGTACAGCTTTTCCCATTACATGAAACCAAAGAAAAATTTCAGCACCTTATGATAAGAGAGTGAAACATTCTTATTTCTACAAAATTGAATTATGTAACAGTATTTGGTAACACATGCCATGGCCACTTTATTTTATAAAATGTGTTTAAGGCATACTTGAGCCATAGCAAAACTAAGAATTAAAGGTCTTAAATAAGTAGAACACACACAGAGAGAGACAGACAGAGTGAGGGACATGGACACAGACACAGACACAGAGAAAAGACAGAGAGACAGACAGAGACTGAGACAGAGACTGAGACCTGACTTCATATTTTAGCAAATAATACAATTTTTTATTTTACAACTATATGATAATAAATAGAAGAACACATTGATTCCTTTAAAATAATAATCTGTTAATCCCTGAACAATCTCAATCTCTGTATTTACATTTTACATATAATATACTTTATCTCAAATAGCACAGTATAAAGTGCTTACATGAACAAGGTGTAATGCAAGCTCAACAGATAGCCCTACGGTCCCCTACAAACATAACTTGTAAAATATCTCATCCAAGAAAACCAAATAAGGTACATTTGAATACAATCAGTAATATTCATTTGCCATTCCAAAATAAGGATTCAAAGATACTATTATGGTTGATACACTGTGTCAACTTGAGAAGTTCAGAAATTTAACTAAGAGACTCAGCAGAAAGCCAGGATCCCTACTTTATAAATATCCTCAGCCTGAGCAAAAGGAGGCCACCCAGGTGGCATGAGTGCTATGCCTGTCCTAGGAGGAAGATGGTAGCCTGCTTACAATATGAAGGAGGAGAAGAGGCTTATTCTTTCTCCCCGCCCCCCCCCCTTTTTTTTTGGCTGCTTTTGTTGGCTGCTTCCTTGAAGTACTGCCCCAGTGCCATGCCACCCTGCCTTGGAGCCAGCTGATTCTGGACTGAAATCACCACAAGCAGTAAGCTAAATAAACTTTCCCTTCCTTCATTTTGTCCCAGCAAGGAGAGAAAAGTAACTAAGATGGATACAAAACTTGGTAAGACTTGGCTTCTAAATTCAAAGCCAGAAACAAATGCAAAATGCAATTTGTTTGAGATCACAAAGAACAATTAACTTTGAGAGGTAGTGGTAACCTGAACTTGCCAGGTGAAAAAGTGGGAGTAAGAGTATCAAAAGGCAAAAGAAAGCCAGGCATGATAGCACGCTCCTGTAATCCCAGCGCTCAAGAGGCTGAGGCAGGAGGATCGTTGCAAGTTTGAGACCAGCCTGGGCTACAAAGTGAGCCCATGGCCAGCCTGAATTGCAAAATGAGATCCTGTCTCAAAAAGACAAAAAAAAAAAAAAGGCAAAAGGAAGAGTAGAAACAAAAGCATGAATGGAGGGTACATATATAACCAGATGTCCTGAGTAGCCATAGCAGAAGAAATAAGGAAGATAAAGGCATGCCCTTGAAACACTAGTAATTAAGCCAGAAAAGGAAGTTTACTAAGGGCCATGCAGGCTATGACAAGGTATTTGACCTTTATGCAGAAAGTCACAGAGAACTGACATATAATAAAAATTAACTGGTCACAAACTGGTGGTAATGTAGAAGACAGATTAAAAAGAAGAGACTGGTAAATGCAAGACACTCCTGTGATAATTAGGATATTACTGTAATAATGTAAACAGAATGTGATGGACAAGCAATAATATAACAATTAAACAACTACATCAACAATCTGCATCAGTTTAGCTTAATGTATGCCACATCTAAATGTACCACTATCAGGCTTGGTGTGGTGGTACATGTCTGTTATCCAGCATGCAGGAGGCTGAGAACTACATAGCAAAACCCTGTCTCAAAAAAAAGTACTATCAATTGATCTGCACAATCCTTAAGAATGAATTGCCCCATTTTACAAGAGAAAAAATGAAGTTCAGAAAGTCATTTACAAAAGTCAGTACACCTAAAAGTGTGATGGGGCCTAGACACAAACCTAAGACTGATTCCAACATCCTTATTTGCAACCTTGGTGTCCTGCACCAACACGCTGGACTCAAGAGAAAGAGAAAAGAATGTAATCAAGAAGTCTTTAGAAGAAACAATCAACAGGGTTTAATCACCTATGACCTATATCCCACACAGGATCTTCATTCACTAATTTTGCCTTTCTGAAATGCTTCTCAAAATGGACTACTTCCTTTAGTAGAAATCATCTAGATTTCTACTAACGTATATTGGTACACTTAACAGATGTTTAAAATCATGTTTAACCACATGAAGAGTTTCAAATACCCTGCACAAGAGTTTTTAAATCTAAAAATTTCTTTACAAGGGCTGGGGATGTAGCTCAGCAAGAGAATGTATGCTTAACACGCAAGAGGCCCTGGATTCAACAGCCTGTACTGCTTTAAAAAAAAGTCCTGCTCACACCTGTAATCTCTGCCTCAAGAAGGAAGATTACAAGTTTGAAATCAGCCTGAGTAACAGATCAAGTTCAGGGTCAGCCTGAACTACACAGCAAGACCCTGCCTCAAAATTTAAAAAAAAAAAGGGGGGGGGCTGGGAATGTAACTAATCATGAAGGACCTGGGTTCAATCCCCAGCACTGGAGGGGAAAAAAATCCTTGTACACTCGAGAAAATTAAAAATAAAAAAAAAAAAAAAAAGAAGAAGGGAGAAAAAGAAAACACAAAATCAAAATAGAGGCCTTTTCAGTCAGAAAAATGACAATCCTGGTATATCCAAGATGGATAAGGTAGATTTATATGCCTTAATCAGAAACCCTAAAAGAAGATACATAGAAGCTAGGCATGGTGGTGTTCGTAGTCCCAGCACTGAAAGTTTGAGGCAGAAGGCTTATAAGGTTGAGCCCAGCCTAGGCAATTTAGCAACTTACTGAGACATGTTTCAAATTAAAGGAGGGGTGGGGGGGACAACTGCACTTACAGCCAGTGCAAAAGCCCTGGATTCAATCCCCAGTAACACATACAGATATACATACATATATACACACACAGAGAAAGGAAAGAAGGAAAAAAAGAGATACAGCAAAAATGATCATAAATAGCAGCTAAGTGAGGAAAAAAAGAAATTTTGTAAACTGAAACCTTCAAACTATAAATAATTCAGCTATTCAAACATGTAATTTTATTATAACAACATAAAAGTAATTCTTTTAATGAAGCCAATGTAAATGTAAAGTTACATAAGAAAAACAGGCAACTGATGAGGCTTACAGGCCCAATTCCAATCTGATAACTGTGTTAGTAAAAGAAAATGAGAATTGCAGCCATTCCATTTCAGCAGGCAAAGTATCTTCTACTCTTTATAAAAATATCTAGTAAACTATCAGTTTGTGCCATGGGATTGCTAAATAAAATAAGTGGCATTTCCCTCAATGAAACAAATCATGCTTTCCTGTAGATAGAAAAACACTCTTCTCTTGCTCGTAAGAGAACCCGGGAATTGAACCCACAGCCTTTAGGCTGAGCTACATCACCAATTTCTTTTCACTTTAAGACAGGGTTTTGGCTAAGTCACTAAATTACTCAGGTTGTGTTCAAACTCACAATCCTCCTGCATCAGCCTCCCAGACAGTTAGGATTACAAGCATGTACCACCTAACCCAGCTAAAAGATACTCGTTTTTACAGTATTAGTAGTACCTAATGTATTACATTCAAAGTTTCTTGATTATGAAAATAACTTTAATAACAAAATACAATGAACACAGTTCTCACTAAATTAAACATTCAAAGTGATACCTGTCGTATTTTTAAAAACAGCACAGTGTTAGCATATAATCATGTGGGATTAGTTTATCCAAGAAATTGGCCAATAGTCACAGGCATCAGTTTAAAAATCTGTGTAAAAGTGTTAAAGTTAATAAGTAATTGTACAATTCAGTGGAAAGACGCAAGAATTTTTACTTCAATGATCATAATCTGACAAGACTTTTGTTTTACATAATAGTATGTGCACAGTATAAGTTCCTCCACTGAAGGAAAAGTTTGTATTGTGTTAGTTCCAGTTATAATTTCCAGCTGAGTCTAAGTTCTAACAGCCTTAAAGCAGGAAATCCAAAAGGAAATTCCATCATCAGATCCTGGGGCTTTTAACTCAAAGGTCCTTTGAAACAGAGATACAGAAGTTCCCAAAGTATTTACTATAACCTTACCTCATATCTTCAAGCAAATCACATTCTGCTTGATGTTTGGCTTGAAGTTTTGTCATCTGCTCAACTTGAATATTTTTCAGTTCTTGTGTAACTTTCACCTAAAATATACCATATATTTATGAAGGCTTTATTATAATTTGAATCCAAAATTTTGAGGAAAACACTTAATATTTGTCAGATTATGTATCTCTTGCTCATCTCTCCCTGAAGACCATAAACCCATTATTTGTCATCTAGTATTATTTCTGAAGATACTTAATGAAAAAAAAGGCTCAATGAAAATATATGCATAGAAAAATTTTACAGATTAAAGAGGTGCAAGATAAACTGCCAATCATTCCATTTCATGCACAAGCTGAGCACACATTTAGGCCTCACAGTTTTAAAAGAGCCTATCTTCTATTTTTTCCAAAAAAAAGATTCAGACATTAACCACCAGAAGAGGTGAGCAGAGTGCAGATAGGAGAAGAAAGCATAACAGTATCTAATACCTACCGACCAAAACTTATATAATCATGAAACAATATGCAGGAATCAACTACATAAATTATTCCACAATGGCTTCAAGAAAGCACACAAATCTCAGGATGATACCCTCCATTCACGGACAGCACATCAAATCACAATCTCTTCCTCACAAAGAAGCAAGCAAAAGTGACCTTCCAGTATATGCAAGGCTTTTAAACTAACCCAGCAAGCCAGGCCCGGTGGTGGCTCCACTTCAAACAGTAAGAACCACCGCAAAAGCCAGCTGGCCAGTGCCTCGACCATCAGGCCCGACCCCAGGATTCCAGGTTAAGGTGATGGAATTCTAGCCTCTGAAACCGGCTAACCAAAGGGGTTGGGAGTGCATTTCGGCAAAGAAAAGGACTCATTTAACTGGAGAAACCCGGATTATGAAAGAGAAAGAAGCAGCAGCAGACATGGGTGAGTTAGGCATTTGGCAAATATTTGTCCCCCAGGGAAGGAAGAATGGCCTCCTCCATCCAGTGTCCAAAGTAGACACTAGTTATCCATCAGCAGGGTTATAACGACATGGACACAACCTCCGTCCCTGGGAAAGCGAGAGAGGGGCGCAGCAGGGAAGCTGCTGACAAGCAGGAGTACACCGGTCACTCCCACCCTGGCCATCCAAGCCCGGATCGCCGAGAAGATACCACGCAAACCCGGGTTCTCACTTTCCTGGAGACAACGCCATCTCCTCCTTGCCCCCTGCCCAGGGGCGGGGCAAGAGTGGCAGAATAAAGGCAGGACCCCTTCAGTCTTTAATTTGCTTTCCCCTGGGGTGGAAGGGCGGTGACTATCCCAACTTCTTTTCCGCAGCCCCGTGGGAAAAGCAGGCCAACCCTTCGGGTTAGGCTAAAAACAAATTCTCCGCAAATTTGCACAAGGGAGGGGTGGCGACAAGGAGCTGGAGGGCTCAAATCTGGTGCAGACTAAACAATCATACACGCACAAGGCTCTGCAAATCTACAGGGGTCCCCCCCCCCCGCCTTCCCTCGGTGCAGCTCCGAGAATGCACTTTGCAGCGAGTGGCACTGCTATGCAGGGGCACACATGCAAATGCAAGCCCGAAACTCTTGTGAAATGCCTGGGGGTCTCCAGGGCAGTGGAGGAGACCAGCCCCGACATCCCTTGATGAGAAACGCATCTCACACACGCGTCCCCTGTCTAGAGCCCGCAGCAACTCAGTGACAAGCCAGAGGCGAGAGCGGTCACAGCCCTCTGCGGGAAGGGGGAGGGGGAGCAGTGGTCTCCCCAGCCATGTTCCTCGTACGCACCCCACCTCCCAAAACCCCAAAGCTTCCCGGCTGCGTCCTACCTTCCTCGGCGGCGGCTGCATGATGCTGAAGGGACATCAATCCTCCCCCGACAGCGGCCTTAGCAAGGACGAGGAGGAGGAGGGCCAGAGAGGAGGGGGTGGCTCAGCGAGCGAGGGCGCGCGTGTGTGAAAGGAGAACCCGAGGAGGTCTCGCCCTGGGGGCAGCAAGGCCGGCGGGGAGCAGAAGGACCCAGGGGTTCCAGCTAGTGTGGGGAAAGAGCAGAGGAGCGCCAGGAAGGCCTGCGGCCCTGGGGGTGTGTGAGGGAAGGAGGCGGAGACCAGGAGGGGGCGGGGGCCGGGAGCGGGGGGACGCTAGGGTCTCGCAGCTCCGGCAGCCGCGGGTAAAGTGCAACCGCTTCGTCCGCGCTCCCCGCCCGCCGCCGGCTCCGCTGCCCCCTACCCTCTCCACCCACTCGGGCAGCCCAGCCCTCGCGGTGCCCGACGCCCCCGCCCGGCCCGTGGAAGAGGAAGGCGGGGCCGCGGTCCCCGCGAGGGCTCCACCACTCAGGCCGCGGGAATTTCCGGCCTCCTCGCGAGCGCAGCGCCCCGCTTCGGCGGCGGAAGGAACCGCTCAATTCAGCGCCGGATTCGTGGTCCGGGCAGCCTGCAGAGAAGTAACGAGGCCTCGTACTGCGGCAGGGCTCCGTACCGCGGCAAGGGACGGGGTGATCTAACGGATTGGTCGGCGGGTGGGAGAATAGAAACGCTAGCAGAGCGCGAAAATCCCCCCTTGCTCTCCGAGAGTGGCACGTCCCAAACGCCGCCTGTCCTCCTCCCCCACACCGGGAGCTTGCCGGGGGCTTCCCGCGCGCTTTCCCGCCAGCCCGCGGGGGCGCGCACGTGGGCGGGAGAGGCTCCGCGCCGACGCACGCGCACAGGCCGCCCCTGCCTCCTGCAGGCTTTGGCTGGTGCAGCGTTTGCTTTGGGGGTGGGAATTTTGGGGGGCAACGTTCCCGGGGAGACTTTTTTTACGTTAGAGAGGAGGCAGCATGCCGGTGGTGCTTCCTCTCAGTCCATCAACATCCCCCTTCCCTGCCAACTAGAGGTACAGAAAAACCATGAATATGGGCAGATCGCTTACAACTGTCCGCAGGTGTCTGGCCTTTGCAAATGAAGGGTGGGGGTGGTGAAGAAAGGGTGGTTAGCGCTGCCCTGAGAAGGAGAAAAGGGCTCTCTACTCTCGGGACACTCAAGTCGAAGATGACACACTCAGGGCTGGAAGGGAACAGAAAGGTCCTAAAGCCAAGGCCCCTGTCCCACCAAAAGAGGAGTAGACGTTTTCTGAAGATCACACAGCAAGACTAAAATCTCGGTCAGAAATGGTATGTGGATTAGAAAGAAACAGGTTCAGCCTGGCCTCATTACAAAAAAAAAAAAAAACGGAAGAAAAAGGTTGAGGACCGTGGTAAAAAATAGAGGAGACAGCTGGAGGAAGCCCTTGCCTGACAGGGGGCCTCTGGGTGCCATTGCACCCTGCCTGCCTCTGACTGGCTGCCTTCCTGCTCTGTCCTGCCTCTCTGCCGGGAGGAATGGAAGAGGGAAATGCGACCTCCACTGCCCAGGGAGTTTCCTAAATTGGATCAAGCCCACGGTTTCTTGGGAAATTGGGAGTCCCAGACAGCTGTTCTCAGAAGTATAGTTCAGGCAAATGAGGAAGGTGAGTGAAGTCCGGGTAAACCAGGGTAAATTGCCAAATGGCCACGTGGCCAGAAATTGGGAGGGTATAACTTGAACCCAGCTTGTTTATATTGAGTTGGCCTAGATTTTTGTGCAGGAAAGTGGTATAATCAGAGGTGTTCTTCTGTCAGATTTACCTAAACTAGAAGTCTCACCCTGATATTTCTGGTATCCTAGAGGCTATTCAAAATTCAGCTCTCCACCCATAGTCCTCAATTAGATCAGGAAAGACCTGAGGCGAGGAAACCTGTAGGTGGTGATCCAGAGCCCTGACAACTGAGAGGCAGCAGCTAGAGCCTAAGCTGGAGTTAGCAAGGCTGGGCTGCAGCTTTCAGTAGTTATTATGAATCCTTAGCCTAATGACTTTCCCTCTTTCAGGCTTTGTTTCTTCACTTGTAAAATGGAAATATATAGTGGGACATGATAGTGCACTCCTGAAATCTCAGTGCTCTGAGGCAGGATTACTGAGAGTTTGGACATTTGAGGCCAGCCTGTGCTACATAGTGAACTGAGGGCTAGCCTGAACTACATATCAAGACTCTGGCGGGGGGGGGGGGGGGGGGGGGGATTCCTAAGTGGCTTATGATATCAATTAAAGATTTGCCCTACCACAGAGTTTGGCACATATTTGTAGCTCAATAAACTGTTATTGAACCATCATTCATTGAAGAAATATTTACTGAGGTTCTGGTTTGTGCCAAGCACTGGGAATATATATACAAGGATGACCAAGATAGAATGAGCCTATGCTTCACTAATCCCAAGTTCTAGATAAACCATCCTAAAAAAGACACTTCACTAGTGGTGACGGGTAACAGCACTTGCCCAGATGCAATGTCTTGCCTACAGGACATGCCTAACAAAGATTTGCTGGAGAAGTAAGTACTGGGGTTATAAAGCTGCTAGATGTTAGGAGAGTTAGTATCCAGGTACACCACTGATCTGGATCTTCACCAGGGATTGGGGTCTAACTAAAGAATAAATTAAGTGAATGAGCCTAGATATTAGTAGGTCCTTCATATATGAAGTCAGATCCGGGAGTTTTGATTATTCGATTGATTGAAGTTGGGAGGTTGTTTTTGGTTTGGGTTTTTTGTTTGTTTGTTCTTGGTAACAAGGATCAAACTCATGATCGAATGCTTGCAAGGCAGGTGCTTATGCCACTGAGCTAAATCCCTGCCCTGGTTTGGTTTTTGAGACTGCCTCTCACTATGTAGTTCAGGCTGGCCTTAACCTCACTATGAAGCCCAGACTGTGTACAGCAATCTTGCTTCAGCCTCCCAAGCGTTAGGATGATAGGCATGTGCAACCACACCTAGCCAGTTTTATTAATTTAGGAAGGCATCCTCTACCTGATTTCCCATTATTCTGAAGTCAGAAATAACAATGACTTTATGAAATGATTTCCTTTGGAGGTTTTATAAAGAGCTAAGGACAATACCAGATGAGTTTACCTGCTGATTGCTTTCAAAAATGTGATTTTGGATCCAGGTGTGGTGGTACATGCCTGGACCTAGCACTTTGGGAGACTGAGGCAGGAGAATTGCCAAATTCAAGCTCAGTCTGAGTAATCTATTGTCTTAGCAAAGTCTCATCTCAAAATTTTCAAAAAAGCCTGGGATACAGCTCAGCATGAAGAAGCTGGGTCAATCTCCAGTACTATAAAGAAAAAAAAAAAAAACAGATATTTGGGAAGATTGGGAACATAACTCAGTGGTAGAGCACTTGCCTAGCATGAGCAAATCCCTGAGTTCTGTCCCCAGACCAAAAAAAAGAAAAGAGGGAGAATGTTTAAATTTTTTTATTATCAAATGCCTTTTCCAAAGCCTAAATTTTCATACCATTTTTTGAGATAATCTTCTCCTTACAATATCAGATAGTATTATTTACATTTTTACAGATGAAGAACTGGAGTTTCAGTGAAGATAAGTGACTTGCCCTAAACTGATGGGTTTGGAAACAGATCCCAGTTCTTCCATGAGGAATGAAAGAATGGTCCTATATCACAAATATTTAAAGGAATTAGGGAAAAGATAATGATTCATCCAAGTGGGCATCTTCCTTTAGATCAGCCAGACTGAGACTTTTGAGCCCAGACAAGGCAGGATCAACACCCCTTCTCAGCCAGAAACAATTATAAAAAGACTTATCCTGGGGGCTGGGGATTTAGCTCAGCGCATAAGTTCCTGCCTTGCGGAGTTGTGAGTTTGATCCCTGGTACTGATAAAAAGGAAAAAGACCAAAAAAAAAAAAAGACTCATCCTTAGCCCTTTTGCACCCTAAAGAATAAGTGATTGAGGTCTGGAGGGACAGAGTGGGGGGATGATAATATGGGATATAAGAAAGAGCTGGGCGTGGTTCTCACCTGTAATCCCAGCACTCAGGAGGCTGAGGCAGGAGGATGGTTGGGAGTTCGAGACCAGCCGAGGCTACAAAGTGAGCTCAAGGCTAGCCTGAACTGCATAGTGAGACCCTGTCTCAAAAAGACAAAAAAAAAAAAAAAAAAGAAAGAAAGATAGGTAGAAAGGAGACAAAGAAAATCATAATTTTCAAAAATAAAAACTACAACTTCAGGCCACAGACCCAGCTTAATTTATTTTTAATGTTCTCCCAAGATACAATAAGCTTGGGCAATTTCCCTTTACCTGCACATGGGTACAGCCATTCCCTTTTTATGTGAGTAGACCGTCCCTTTTCTTCAGTATAATAGGCTTTCTCCTATGAATGAGTCATTATCTGTCCATGGATCAGCTCTCCTTTTACAAAAACTAAGACACAAGACACAACTTCCTATAGACTCAAAAATTTCATAGGTTTCCAACCTCTCAACCAGAAACATAAATGTTCCTAATTTGAAAAACCACTGTGAGGGGGAGTTGCTCAAATTGTCTCCTACACCTCTCTCTTTCCGGAACCTGTACTCTTATTTGTTTGAGCATGTGCTTCTAAAATTCTTACTAATAAACCTCTTTATGCCTTTAAAAAAAAATAAGCCAGGCATGATGGTACATGCTCATAATCCCAGCACTCTGGAGACTGAGGCAGGAGGATTGCTGCCAGTTCAAGGACAGCCTAAGCTAAAGAGAGTTTAAGACCAACCGGGACTATGCAATGAGACCCTATCTCAAAAAAAGAAAGAAGAAGAAGAAGCCTTTTAAATAATGGAAGAAGAAAGATATATAGATAGGTATTGGAAAAGTTCACCAAGGAGAAAACAAAACAGACTCAGGAGAATATATACCTCATATGTCCTAAACTCCATGGGCCAGGGAAAGGGATTTCTGTGACTTGTGTAAGCCTGACTTAACATGAACAAGGAGGGAGGAGGGGGACTTCAGAGCCTTGCTTCTGCACTGCGACAAGCACTGTGTTACCAGTAAGAACCCTTGAGATTGCTTAGAGGGAAATGCTGCTGAGCAGCATGCACTGTGGCCCCAAAGACAGAATTGGGACAACCCTCAGCTGAGATGCAGGAAGGACACACTCCAGGCAGAGCCACTGCTGGAGGAGACAGACTCCTCATTCCTGGGGCTGTGTAAGCAGTTGCTGGCTCCCTTTCCACCAAAGAGGCCACAAATGGGATTCTCACACTCGAAAGAAATGAACAGCAGCTACCATTTATTTTGCTTCTTCCATGTTTCAAATGCTGCAATAGACATTCCATTTATGTTGTTTCTAACCCTTCTG